TCCTTCCTTCCCATTTTTGTGGGACTGGGGTGGGGGGGGAAGGGCAGTGGCCTGTCGCCCCTGTCACGGACATAGATTGATCTGATCAACTCCGTGACAATATGTTGAAGAGCTGCAACCTTGCGATAAAGAACAGAAAGCAAAGAAGTCTGTCTTGCATTTTCAGTTACAAATACAGAGACGAGACTTAAAATCCTGACCCTTAAAACACATACCTCTTTTCTTACGAGATTCTTTAATTTCTTCACAACGTTGTTCTAAATCTTCATCTATCTCTCCCTTCACAATGGAATATGCAGTGTCTTTCAAACTACAAGCTCTGTGCCTAATGAGACGATCTGAAATTTTACAGGCAGAACTTAGTCAGGCAGTGAAACTCTTGATCACAGAGAAAAAAGTTGCTCTGCACTGGTAGTTTCTGAAAAAGGATATCTCAGGGAATACTTTTATTTACATTAACACTTACATTCCACATCCAAGTAGTTAAGTGCCACAAAATCTACAATCTGACAAGCAATGCTGTCCATGGATGTTAAAAAGGATCTGATGCGGTCTATCGCCTACGCACACCATTGATCCATCTATGCATTTTACAAGGATCACAAATGCTAACTCACCTGCAAGGTCTTTATTTGGGTTATATTCTAAGGCATTACTACAGATGAGATCAATATCTTCCAGGAAATCTCCTGCAGTTAGGTACTGGTGCAAATCAATCTTCGATAAAACCGTTGAAAGATCCATTGGATGCTTAATGACTGTGTCATAGTCAGGCACCTACAGATGGAACAGAAACGTTCAGAGGGTTTATTGGACTCGCACATCATCTACCAAAATTCTTCATTTTAAAAACTTCAACTAAATGACTTCTTAAAAGCCCTGAATATTTGTGACATCAGGAGATACTAAAATAACTAGCAAACTGTTGGGAAATGGAAGGGCTCTTTATAACTTGTTGGAAATGGAATAAAGAAAAAGAAACAGGGAGGTCAGAAGCACACAGATAGTACAAAACAGATTCATTTCACTTTGTCTCAGAAAAATCACAGCAAAGAAATCTGGGGAAGTCACCCAACATTCTCTTTGTTGTTGGCAGTGAGAAAAAGGCTGCATGAATTGCACCTGAACGAATGTCCATGCTGGCATCTACTTCAGAATGAGATGACTGGACTCAGAGGTGCAGACTGTTTTACTCAGACTGTAAGAAGAGCCTAATGACTAGTTGAGATGAGGACATATATATTTGTTTAGATTATTCACACCTCAGGAACGGAGGGGAAAAGTCAGCAGATCCCTAAGGGAACAGGACTTTACTGGTACACAGCTCTATGAAAACTACAGGTGACTTGTAATGATACACCCCTGATTTAGACTTATTCAGCCACTACAGGAGATAAGGGGACCTAAGAAGTACATGGGAGAAAGAAGA